AAACAGTCTCAATCTATATTGGAAGACATAACAAGGACGTATTTGAAGACCAGAATTTTATTTCTGAATTTATTATAGCATTGGAGTGAGTCGTTGCAGAACCGCTGAGTGCATGTACAATGGTATATTGGCATAATACAGATGTTATAAGTATATATTATTAAAAGTTAGTATCAATTAATAATTTTCCATACCATCCTCAATGATTCATCTGAATCTTGGCTGTAAAAAGCCCTTCGGTTTTCATCCAGAATCTCTCTCAACTTACATAAAATAAACTGCTGATCAGAGGTTACAAACAGATAAGTGTGATTCTATATGATTCTGTATAAACAAATGTAATATTTAAGCTGTGTAAATTAGTGATGCATGAACATAGTGTAAAATGCAAGCCAATTACGTTACAACCATCAAAGATGCAATAAATATATTAATAAACTGACATAGGCCTACATCGATGACAACAGGAGTCTAGTCAATAATTATTCCAATTAACTGATCTCTTTTCTTTTAAGCTACTTGGATTTCTGTATGGCATAGAATATCTCTACTTGTACACATATAAATAAAATCATCTTTAACCGTTGTCTAATTTTTCAAATTCCCAATTGTGTATCGATGGTTAACTCTTCCGTTGTAGCTGAAAATACAATATTTAATACAAGCAAGCAACATGTGGAAGAATAATTCTTTAGTCATTTAATTCAGAAGAGACTGCTAATCTTCTTTCGAAATCTCTTTAAACATATCTGTTTTGGCTGTGGTAGTTTTCCATCTCCCATGCTGCTTAATTAATTCCTCTGAAACCCCTTTATTAGCTAAATGCGATGCTCCACCAGACCTTAAACAGTGCATGCCATAATTCTTGGGATCGGACACCACAATCTGTTTCAGTGCATCAGGAAATAGCTCTCTGCCTTGTGTAACTTACTTAGTGGCTTATTCTTCAGAGGTACGCGCGTTTTCTGTTTGGAGTGGTAGGAGAGTGGTGTGAAGACGGATACATCATCTCCTATTTTAGTATCACATTTTACAAGTACAACCTTAAAATGGAAACCGGAGAGTATCATTGTTGGTGTGAGCGATTTAGCGCAGTTGAGCCTTTGCCAAAAATGTCAGTTTTAGATCTTAAAACTAACAACCCATTTCCTTCCAGCAATTGAGAAATGTGACTAGCTTTTAGTTGTACCATTTCCTTGTGTCGGAAAAGCAAGGGAAACTTTAATGCCACGTAACAAGCTTTTCTGAGGTCAAACAAGTCATTTTCTGGACTGCCAAATTTATCCACATAAACAGCTCTTTTGACGGTCTCAAGAGAAATGGGTCCTTTTTGCACGGGGGTTTGTGAAGTTGACGTTTAATTTAATTCTAATAATAATCTGCTGAACCATAGGCAAATCAACCGGGTTGGGATTTGCATTTAGTAAAGAATTAATCCATTTTATAACAGCGGCGGCAGTAGTTATAAAACTATCGGATTTGGCTGAGGTTTTCTTGTGAAGAAGGTAAGCAGCAATGAGTTTATCCTTAATAGGGAGCCTTATTTCAACTTTTGGTTCTTTTAACCATTCGAAAAATTGTCTACAGTTGTACAAAAGTCGACGGTCATAACAACACCAAAGATCACGGTACAAAGAGGTAAAGAGTTGCACTTAGCATGTGGTATCACATTGGAAGCTGGTGATGAATTCTATGCAGTTCGATGGATTCGAGGACTACAAGCAGATCCGTACGGTGCAATATATGTTTCAAACGGGTGTGGTAAGCGCGAGTTTGAATGTCCTGTTAATCTCACCAGTGACAATCGTGGTTCAGTCCAGTATGCGAAGGGTGAAAGAAACGATTCAACATTGACATTAACCATCCAGAATAGCACATTAGATGACAACACGCGCTTTGAATGTTCATTTGTCAGGAAGAACGGCTATCCTCTTTCCACAACAATTAGTGTGACCGTCAACTACTTCCCCAATGAAAGGTATCCATTTTGTAATGCGTCGTTAAATAATCCCCAGAGTGCACTACCTTTGCTGATTTGCTCGTCTGACAAGGCTAGACCAGTAGTTTTGCTTGAATGGACCATACTCCTTAATTCATCAGTGATTTCCATTTCTAATGCCACAGTCGTTGCTGGGGATGAAGTTGAAAGCATCCTGAACCTCGACACAGTGGAGACGTCTTACCATAATATGACATTCACTTGTTTCATGTCTAGTGATGCCTATCCTGGCATTAAAAGAAGCTGCTCCATCAGACTGTCTGACCTAAAGACTATTACTACAGGCAGTCCTACCACTCAAAGTCGAGAACTTGTTGTTATCACCACTGAAGTCACTACTTCACGCAGCCCCAGTCCATCAGAAGAGACTGACCCTACCGTGCTGGTACCCAAATCCACTCCCTTCCCAATGGGAACTACTTTCATTGTAGTGATGACGGTTACCAGCGGTGCCATCATCATCATTCTCCTTGTAGTCATAGTTTGCCTTGTCTCGAAGAAAAAAATTAAGAGGCGCGTGGAAAGGTACAACTCAACAAGTTCAGAGATTAGAGATCAAGCAGTCAACGCGCATGAGGAACACGATCGCAACGACCGATTCGCTAATCCAGGAGCGAGCGGCAATGGCACATCCGTGGGGCACATCAGACCGACCGGCCCGTCAGCTCCACTGGAATCGTCCTTGTACGATGACGCCGATTTTTCAGTGGTTCACGCGGAGCAGCCACCACCGGAGTACGCTGTACTAGATCCAGACATCACCCCAACACACTCAGCTGCGAGTAATGATTATGCGTATGCATACGCAGCTGTGCCGAGAATGGCAAGGCTTAACCACGGTGAGGATGTATTCCGTGATGAAGGGAACATCCGTCAGAATGTCGAGCAAGGTGAGTCAATAAAATCCGTTGTAATTTGTGGTTTATTTCGGTTAGAGTCCTAAGGGGGAACCAAGGAAGAAGGCTTCACGGACGAGAAGAAAGTAGGTTTGCATAGCCCAGCCGCCAGCTACAGGCATTGAGGTCAAAAGTACCAGTTAGGGGACACATCTCAATAACAATAGATAACTTTTAATGCATCTAAATTTTGCCGATGGGTGGAGCTGCACGCCGGGTGACGCCCCTCAACCCCCCGCCCCCAGCAACGCTGCGAGCCTGGTTTTGCTATAAAATTGTCGTTTTGCAGGACAAGACGTAAGAGGAATATCAATGAGAGCATTGGTAACCTCATGCTGCTTGAGTCATAAAGTTACGGACCTGATCGCCAAAATGAGAAAGAGGGGTGTTTTTAGTGCTAGTGCATCTCTCTCTCTCTCTCTCTCTCTCTCTCTCTCTCTCTCTTTCTTGTCCAGATATGATTCTGTACAAAGCAAGAATGAATCCAGTTCAGGTTTGCGCAAGACCTCATAATATAGGCTGATTCCGCACATTGTGGTTCAAACACGTACAAGCAGCCTTAACAGCACCGAGTGGCCGTGACATTGGTTCAAAGGGCTCAAATGAAGGCTAGGGTTTTCCACTTTCTTAGTGACACCATAGCAGCCCCCCCACCGGTAACCAAAGTCAACAAAAGAGAAACAGATATTGAACAGTGAAGTTGCCTGGTCATTTCTGCCATTAAAACTTTTGACAAATATTTTACTATCATATTCCCTGATCCACAGGTCAAAAAGCATTTACTTCTCAGGGGCATGGAAAAACAAACCAGTATTACGAAGATGTTGACTCGAGCAGTGGGGCCGGTCCGTTTGGAGTGGCCAAACATAGCGACAGGGACAGCGACAACGACGAGGACTGGGACACGAAGTTCGTCGACAACATCCTGTACGTGGCGTCCTCAAACGATGCAATCATCAACGAGCAAAAAATTGGCAGCGGGGATGTCATCTTCAAGAAAAAAGTCAAAGGCAAACCGAGACTTGACCCATTCTAATGGCCTCTTCATTATTGGACATTGTGAAGTTCAGAACCAATTACATTAACAAGCATCTTCAGAGTAATGAGCCCAGTATTTAATGTACTACTCAAAAATGATTAAGGACCACTTCCGAACTTGTAAATTTTTTTTCAAAACAACGAGCGGGGTCAAGTTCTTTCGTTTTTTAGTTTGTCTAGATGGTTTTTCATTGGAATAACAAATAAATAAATTAGGATAGTTGTATTGGCGTATTTTCAGCAGTAAAATATTTCACATAAAAAGGTATACACAAAATAAAAAGTGGTCCTCAACTTTTTTTAGTATTGTATATAGGAATTGGAGATGTTATGTCTATTGATGTTGATTAATTATCAGAAAAAGACATAAGCAGCTACCAAGTCAAGGGCATTTCCTTTAAATATGCATTAGAAATCTGGTTCATTCGAAATGAATTTTGCTACGATACCAACATTTTAACCGGCTTCCTCGAAAAAAAAGCAGCTTTGATAATCTAACCACGATGTGGTTTTAAACACAAATGACTGAAATTTCATCTCGGTGGATTTTTTACATTTTGAAAAGGCACTGTATATCCACACAACACGATCAGGATAATTGCAAATAATCATTTCGGCTTGGACCGCAGAGTCTTTAGTTTCGCAGCTTTGCTGTGAAAAGAGCTGTGCTATTAAAAGAAATGAAACATTTACCACAAAGACATCTTTGACAACAGGTCGGAGATACCAATATAACGAAATCATATCCACTGGGTTAAATTACTGCGAAGTGCACTTTCGTTTTTGCAATGTGCATGGCACGCAGATGACTTTAATAGGTGTTTATTGTGGTGCAAAGGGACGATAAGCAGCTTTTCAAAAGGACAAGTGCTGTTCCGGATTGAATTTAGCTATTATGGGATGGCAGTAGTGAACCAAAACACCTAACACCGTCGTCCATCCCCTAAGCTCAGAGTTTGTGTTGTTTTAACATTCGGGCAACCACAAAATTTCTTACTTATAAATTCTTATATCTTATTCAACGCAACGAATACGAAGTCTACCTCTGACTTCAATGAGCAGTTGCTTCTTTCTTTCCTCCGATCGTTTGGACTGAAACATTTTCGTAATATATCCCTTTAATTTTGCTGATGAAAGTAACCAAGACCCTTACACCAGACTCTTTGGGGTTACTGTTTGCTAAAGTAACCCTCTGTCCCGTGTCCTCAGTCGTCAAGGATGTTAAATGGAAAAACAGTTTTGGAATGGCTTATATTTACAAAGTGTAACGTCCACTCGTTACCACACGCTTCATGCAGGTTTTGCAGGAATTATAGAATGTGTAAAATGAAAGTATAAATTATTTGTGAAACCAGGAGTAAAAGAATTTC